TTTTGTTCTGTCGTGGGGGTGCACCCCCCCTTTAGCAAAAAACCCCTCCAAAAAAAAAAAAAACCATTACCATGGACCAGTAGGTGGTGTGGTGGTTAAGGCACTGGACTCTCACATGGCCAATCATAGTTTGAGTCCTGGACCTGGTAGCTTGCTTTCTCACTTTTTCTCTCTGGTGGGCACATGTGCCCTGGGGCAAATTTAAAATAAATAAATTAAATATTTTATATAATATATATGTACATATATATATAATACCATAGGAAGAGAGGAGAAATATTACTTGGGTTATTGCTCTCAAGCCCCTCTCAGTGTCTGGGGTAAACCCACAATAATAACGTCACCCATTTCATTTGGTCAACCCTTGACAGGTGTAGGACACCTTAGTTTCTATTAAGACTTCTAGCAACGGATGTGGTAGGGGGTGTGGAAGGAAACCAAGCTTCTGAGTGTGCGTTCCCTAGGGTAACTTGGTTAGTAGGTGGCTGTACTACAGCTGAAGCCCACTCAGAACCCCACGTCTAGGGCTGTGAGCAAAGCATGCCAGCTGAGTCTCCTGCTGTCCCCAGGGTATGGAAGGAAGATACAGTCTTCCTGGGGCCAGAGGAGCCCAGGGGCAGGAGGAGGCTGAGGGCATCATGTACAACATCACATCCCATCATATCACTCCCACCAGGAGGGCCGCGTGGCCATCACCCGAGTGGCCAACCTTCTGCTGTGTATGTATGCCAAGGAGACCGTGGGCTTCGGAATGCTCAAGGCCAAGGTGTGTATGCACCCATCCCTCCACAGCCCTGGGCCTGGCCTTCGTGCTCCTCCCTGCGCCCTCTCCCGCCACCTTACTGGAGTCCCCCTATGTGCTTGTTCTCAGCTCGTGTCTGGTGTGGCCTCACTCAGGTCAGGGCTGGAGGCTGGTTACAAAGTACAGCTTAGGGGAGCCCCAGGTTTGGGTTTCCTCTAGTGTGGGACTGATGGCTGCTCCCCCTTTTTGCAGGCCCAGGCCCTGGTGCAGTATCTGGAAGAGCCCCTCACCCAAGTCGCAGCATCTTAATGGGCTAGTGGAAGCTGGGGTCGGAAAAGAGAGTTTGGAGGGGCAGGGCCCCCCTGGGAAAATCTTCCTAGACTGTGTGGGGAGGGTGGGACTTTGCTTCTTCCAGAAATAAACTTCAACTCCTATCTTGTGTCTTGGCTTCTTTTTTGGATGAGAGCAATCCGGGACCAGAGGAGCAGGGATTGCTTACGGATTCCTTGTGTTCCGTAAGAACGGATTCTCCCTCCTCCTCCACTGTGACCAAACGGTTCTCAGAAATAGTGCCTCAGCTCCCTCAGCCTCTCCAGTGGTGTGATCTCACCTAGTCCTGGCCTCTCAGAGCAGAATCTTGTTTTTGTAAAGAATTATATTAATTATTATTACTTTAAAAAAATTTTTTGATAGAGATTTTGCTTAGGGTGCATGCACTCACAGAGAGAAAGACAGTGAGAAGGAAAGTGAGAAATCATCCCCCAGGAAGATGGCCACCTGCACACCTTTCTCCTCCAGTCTCCTCCTGGGATCTTGGACATGCACGCACACACTTCTGGCATGAGTTTCAAGTCGCTGCATCTAGGACTCAAACAGCAGTCAGCTACGTGGGAGTCCAACGACATAACCACTATGCCATCTGCTGGTCCCTAATTATTACTTTTTTTTATCTTTTTTTTTTTTTTTTTTGAGAGATTTTTTTGCTGTAGAGTGCATGCATTCACTGGAGATATATAGAGAGATAGACAGAAAGCAAGAAATCACCTACCTCCAGGGGGTGGCCACACCTCAATCTCTTCTCCTCCAGTCTCCTCTTTTTATTTTAGGCACGTGCACACACACGCCTAGTGTGAGTTTAAGCCACTGGGTCCAGGACTTGAACCACGATTGACTACATGGGAGTCCAGTGATGCAACCATTATCCCATCTGCCGGTCCCAATTGTTACTTTTTAATTTGACCAGAGAGAGAGGGAAAGTGAGAAAGCAGGCCCCCTGGTCCAGGACTCAAAACAGCAGTCAGCCATGTGGGAGTCCAGTGCCCCAACCAACATGCCACCTACCCGCCCCGAGCAGAATCTTATCCCCCTGGTTGGCAATACCTTGGGAGTGTGCTCAGAGAACAAGGGGCCGATGGCAGGTTAGAGAATATAGAGCCCTGTGAGCTTAGTGTTCCTCACAGACTTTGGGTACACCTTTTCTACTCTTGAGATTGGGCGGGTGCCCCTTATGTGCCTAAAAGGGGCTAAGCCTTTTCCTCTTCTCCCAAAGGTATTCATATGCTCACATAGATCTCTGCTCCTGAGGCCTTTTGCAGACAAGGTATCTTTGCTATGGTGCTTCAGGTTCTGGGCGGCTTTAGAAGAAACCCGGATGGCCTCTCAGAGGCCTCCATCTCCAGACCCTGCCCCTACGCTCAGACCCCCTCACCATATCTGGCTCTTTCTGCTCCCAGTCTTTCTTACCCAATGTCCTTAGAGCAGGTCTGTACAGGAAGCTACCAGCCCTCCTCCCACCCCTGGTGTCCTGTGCATGGTTCTGTAGCAAGGGGCCCATCCCAGGAATGGGGTAGGTTGTGAGTCTCAGCTCCACCCAGGGTAAGAAACTGCCCATCCCAGGCCCTCGGCTGTCAGGGAGGGGCAGAAGTTGCTGTGGCCAAGATGCAACTCCCACAGGTCCACAGTGCAGCAAGGTGACAGGTGCCCCATCTGCCCCAGCCCCTCACTCCCAGGCACCCCCACTAGGCTCTGTTGCAAAAGCAGGCAGCTAAATGGGCTATTTCTCCCTCACAGGTAGCTGGGCCCCCCTTGCTACAGACCCCAAGCACCCAGCTAAGTGCCAGCCCTCAGGGGTCTCTCTGAAGCTTCTGTCCTTGCCTAGCTTCTCCCAGTCTTAGTCCCTGGAGCTGGCCCTCCAGCTTGCGGGAGCCAGGCTGAGCACTGACACCCAACCTGTCTAACCTGTCTGACGTCATCATCTCTCCGCCCACCTGGGCACCAGGTCTCCAGCCGCCCTGCTCTTCCTGTTCTCAGCTTCCGTCCTCTCGCTTCCTTGCAGCACTCCCACCTGCCAGAGCTGAGCCTGCCCAGGCCCTGCCCAGCCTTGAGTTGACCCTCAGTCCCTCTGGCTACAGAAGTCTTACACCCAATGAGAGGAGGGTCCAGGTCATTGAGCTAAGGCTCAGACTTGTCACCTCTGACTCCAAAGACACCTGCACCTTCCATGTGGAGCCAAGATGGGGAATGGAACCGAGGACGATTATAACTTTGTCTTCAAAGGTGAGTTGGGGTCCATGAAGAGGGAGGAAGCCCGAGAGACCCTGATGGGGAGCAATAGAGCATAGAGTCCAGACGGCCCGCCTCCTGTTTTCCTCTCTTCCCAGGACTTCCTAGGGCTCACCGTTTTCTGGGTCTAAGAAAGCTGCAGGGAGTGGGGAGGGTCACGTTGAGGCAAAAGTCCTAGGATGCCGAGCGTGCTCTATGGTTGTAAACAATGCTGCCGATCGCTCCCAAATGGTGCACCCTGTTCCTAATGGAAGCCCAAAGCCTAGAAACAGCTTCTACAGCACGAGGGGTAGAGGTCAGCCTTGACAAGGACTTCCCTCCTCTGAGGCTAGAGAAGTGAGCACTCTTTAGAAGACAAAAGTCATTTTTTGGGCGGTTGTACAGGAAGGGAAAGGAGAGACCCACCGTGTTGTAGTGCTGGGTAGTAAGAACTTGGAGCAGGGTCTCACAGAATCCAGAACTCCGGGGTAGTGGTCTTGCCTGCAGACTTCTCCAGCCTGGACACCAGGCATTGGGTTCAACTTAGCTATCCCGAGAAAGCATGCATCTGCTCAGCCCCTGTATCTGGCCCCTCTGTTGTTCCCCAACCACACCTCCTTCCGGGCAAGGTGGACTGGTAGAGCTACCACCCCACCCCACTGCCTCTCCCAGCCTGCCCCGCCTCCCCACAAGCAGGAGAACCTGTGCTCCCAGCATCTTCTAGGACCAGGACAGGGAGACGGGTAGGGGCCTCTGTAGTCTCTGGGACAATAATTCTACTAATGATTATTGTTTATTGGCCCTAACTATGTACTAGCTCCTCTCATTAATCACCATAACAACCCCAAAAGTTACCTTTCATTTTTTGTGTGTTTTTATTTCATTTATTCATGACAAAGTGCATGTCTGTGGTGCACATGAGAAAGAGAGAGAAGCATCCTTGAACGGGTCTCTTTACACTGCAGTCTCCTCTCCTTGACCCTCCAGCTCCGCAGGCTCTTGGGCACCCACGCATGTGCACTCACATGTTTTACAAGCTGACCCCGGGATCTGAACCCGCACTCAGCCATGCACCTTCCAGCACGCAGTTCAATTTGCTAACAACTATGCCACTGGGCCGGGCCTGCCTCTCATTGTGGAGGGTCCTGAGCATGATGGTCAGGAACCAGGCTGTGTTCAGATCTCAGCTCTGCTGCTTATGAGTAACTGCTGGTGGGATCTCCAGAAGCAGGCACCTCAAGAAGTTTGGGGTGTTGAATGTGTATTATGGATCGACACCTGTGAGAGCGAGGCAGAGGAAACAGGGTTGGGCCAAGGGAGAAGTCAAACTGCAGTGCAGGCTCCACAAGGTCTGGGCCAAGGGCGGGGAGCCCTGTGAGCACCTCGCCTTGCGCGGCCACTGGAAGTGGCTGTTCAGGAATGACATGGCTTCCGGTGTGCCCATCTGGCCCAGAGCAGATGCTCAAGGAGCTGACTGCACCGCCCGCATGCCCTGCAGCTGGCGGGCAAGGCCGACTTGGACACAGTCTGGGCAGCACCTTTCTGTGTTCTCTTGACCTCTCAGGGGCCCTGTTTCTTGTCTATGAAATGGGGATAGTAAATGACTTAACAGCACCAGAGCTCTTAGGACAGTGCCTAGCGCATAGCACTGAACTTTAGCCATTTTATATTCCACTGTATAAATGAGGAAGCCGAAGCTGAGGGACAAAATCATTAGTACCCACCTGTCTGACTCCAAAGCGCTCACCTTGGGGAAGAACTTTAGGGCCTGAGGGCAGAGCTGGGAGCCCACCCGCTGAAGGGATTAGAAGGCAGTAAGGTTCCCAGTAGGGGAGAGGCGAGAACTCACGCACAATCATACACACCCATACTGCTCCTAGCTTTTTCCTACCCTATACAAATACGGGATTTTTCTTTTAATTTGCTAGAGGGCGTGTGCTATGGGCAGAGGGACAGAGAGAGAGAGGGAAAATGAGGAAGCACAGCTCCCCACTGGGGGAATGGCCACATTGCAATTCCTTGTCCTCCATTCTCTCTGGTTTTGGGTGCACGTGCACACATGCCTAGCATGTCTTTCAAGCTTCTGGATCCGGAACTCAACTGCACAATTGGTCATGTGGGATCCAGTGCCTTAACCACCAGGCCACGGGCTGGCCCATACAGGGCTCTGAACCATGAGGACTGCCCCTCCTTGAGGACAACTGGATTCTAGCTGCTGCTGCTGCTGCTGCTTCTTTTTTAGAGAGATTTTTGCTATAGGGCACATGCACTCTCTGGAGAGACAGAGAGACAGAAACCCAGAAATCACTCCTCAGGGGGGATGGCCACACCGCAATCCCTTCTCCTCCATTCTCCTCTCGGGATCCTAGGCATGCACGTACAGAGGCCCAGCAAGAGTTTTAAGCCACTGGGTCCAGGACTCAAACCGAGGCCAACTATGTGGGAGTCTAGCAATATAGCCATTACTCCTCTGCTGGTCTTCTGGGTCCAAGCTTCTTACACACACACACACACACACACACGCACACTTCTGTTACTTTCTTCTGCCAGACTTTCCCCTCTACCACATTTCTGTTCACAACTGTGTTCCTGATGCAAACACACACCAAAATGCACAAGCCTCAGATCTCCTACTACCCCTGTCCTTATTTATTTGTTTAATTCATTTTTCTAAAATGTGCGTGATCTCGGGGTCAGCAATGGTGTGGTGGTTAAAGGCGCTGGACTTCCACATGGCTGACCGTGGTTTGAGTACTGGGCCTGCTCACTCCCGCTCTCTCTCTCTCCCTCCCTCCCTCCCTCCCTCCCTCCCTCTCTCCCTCTCTCCCCCACCCCTGGTCAAATTAAAATAAACAAATAAATAAATAAAGTTAAATAAAATAATTCTTTTTTT